CTGATATCCATTCTAGAAAGCTCCTAATTAAATTAGACATCTTCATTATTGTTTAACATCTTTTTTGGTTGTGTCATTACAGAATAAGTGAGGTTTACTTTCCAATTTAACTGCATATTTTTGAAGAACAAAGAAATTCATACTGTCAGTGTGAATTCTTCAAAATGTTTACTGTATATCAGAATGAATAATGCTGTTTCAGAATTGGGGGCAGTCATGTGTACAAATTAGTGAGACAGGTGTTTATGCTGTTTTTCCGATTGTTTCCTGGATATGGGATCTCATGGAGAATATAACATGTACAGTATAGCTCATGAATATATCCTCTATAGTTTTGATTACTGTAGTGGCTCCAAAATGTCTGATAGTTTACTCTGTAGTTTTATGCCCTTTGATACTTCCATAGGGTTTGGTGAAGTAGCCCTGTTGGCTGATCAGCCACCTGTCAAGGACCAGGAGCTGGGACAGGGGTAATCCTTCTTGGCAAAGGTTGCACCATTGGGGACAAGGGAAGGAGAAGCAGAAAGCTGGTGGGCACAGACTGGCTATGCATGAACTAAGCGGGGACAGGGATGGGTGGCCTTGGGGGAACTGTCTGAAATGTGGGAACATACATTCAGACAGGCCAGGGACAAGGGCTGCCTGTGCAGGATGTTAAACAACGTTCCGTGCGCCTTGGTGTTTAGTCATGCCGGCCACATGACCATGGAAATGTCTTCAGACAACGCTGGCTCTTCGGCTTTGAAATGGAGATGAGCACCGCAACCCTAGAGTTGGATTCGACTGGCTTTCGAGCAAGGGAACCTTTACCTTTACCCTTAATGAGAGAGATGGGGCTGGACTAGGAGGGAAGAGAGTGAAATAAGTCCCCGGGTGTATCTGGACACACTGCTTGCTGTGAACATGGGGGAGCAAATATACACTGTGACTCAGCAACTTTGTTGGCTCCAAATTCATTTATTACCAGCACTCAGGTCTCTAGGAACATGGACAGCAAGCCTCTGCCCAAGGTGTTACAACCAGTGGCCTTGGCTCCATCCCTGCCCAGACTGGCTTCGTCTGCAGAGGGATTGCGTTTTGAAAGCAGGCATCCAGCTATCATGTGTGAACTGGCACTAAGTCGCTTGAGGGTCATGGCTTCAGGATCATAATTGTCCTTTCTTTTTCTTCTCACAGTATGGTTATACAGTATTACATAGCAAGTAAACAAAAGAAAAGGCCCTCCCATGTAACAAGCGGGAAGAAAATTTGCTTTGGTGTTGCAAGGTCCCTATGCTTACGCCTAAACTATGCAATCACTTCACAGATTTTAGGTATATTAGTAACTGCCTGGCATGAACTTTATTGGACTTTAAGTGATCTGTTTACTATGTTCCACATAAGGATGACGAGTGGTCCCAGAGATGAATCCATGCACAGGAAGGGGTGGTGCAGTCCTAGTCTCTCCCTATGTGTAACATGTAGGAGTTAATCTGAACAGAATCTACTGCTTGAGTTGTTTTAACAAAAACTGTTTGTTCAGAATAAGACAAGACAATTGTATTCTTTAAAAAATCTTGATTGGTAATGATCTTCCTCTTCTGTTAAAAGTTCTGAATTGCTGTGGGAGAGTCCAGCTTCCTAAAGGGTCTGGTAAGATCCTGATTTCCAAGTATGCTTTAGAGTAATTCTATGCATCAGCGGTGAAGTCAGTGGGTAAAATATCAATCCAAATAATAAAACTAAGGCATGGGCTACTTTGCCAGCTGACTGCAGTGAATCTAAATGAAAACAAACCTTCATATAGTCCGCAATTGTTCTGGTTCCATTGAATGTTGTTATAAGGAACATTTCAATGCATATTCCTAGTTTTCAGTAGTCATGGGCGTTTGCAACTGCAGATGTAGTCAATGAAATTTCGGTATCTGTGGCTGTCTTATTATTCCTTGTGTTGGTGGGTGGCCTGGCTTAGGAATCAAACTGAACTGTGATTGAATGAAATGCACAAAAGGAGCTCTCACAGAAGGAAATGATAAAAGCGAAGTGGGTGGTAATGCAAAGAACATTACATACATTGTCCCAATTTTTTTTTCTGGCAGAAAAAGTGTATTTAAGAAAGCTGTGTTTAATATTCTGATTGTTACGATATAGATCACAGACTGTCGTATGTCAGAGTTGGAGAGACACACAGAGAGACACAAAATGCATGAACTTTTTTTAAAAAATGTCCAGGACTTGAAACTACTCTTTCTCAAATTAATTAGCATTTATATTTTAAGTTTTATAAACATGGAGCAATATAGTTCAGTATTATAAAATCCCTTAACATGGAAATTTTGTGTTTTGTGGTGGGAGGACACAGTTCTTCTGTTGGGTTGCCTCTAATACTTACTACAAAGCAGCTGTAACTTGATTTTTAATCTTTCCTCGCCCTCATACTTCATGAAGCTTTCCACTTTTTTGGTAGGTTGGTTCTCCATGAGAAATCTTGTTCTGACTAAAAAGACAAAGGAAAAAGTAACCTTACACACTTTATGACAGCCTTCTAACATACTTTCCTGTGTGCCTGTCAAGACTGTTATAAATTCAGTACAGTTGTGCCAGAAATCTGATACACAAATAACTTGAAGTAACAAAGTCTGATTTAATATTAATTTCTTACACTTGATTGATTTCTTTGCTCTGTATATTGTCATTGTCTCTGTGCTCTCTAATCATGTACATTAGCTTTTATTAATGAAATGCATAGCTATTGCAACAAAATATTTCTGTCTGTAATAATGAAATTGCCCTGCCCTGGAAAACCCTAGATAGACTGATCATGTCTGATCTGGGAAGGTAAGCAGAGTTGACTCTGGTCAGTATTTGGATGGGAGCTCCCCCCTCCCAAGGAATATCACCATCACTATACAGAGGCAAACAATGGTATACCACTTCTGGCTGTCTCTTGGCTTGGAAACCATATGAGGTTGCTATAGGTTGGCTGCAACTTGATGGCAAAAAAGACAATGAAATAACAGTATTACTCCAATACAAAATAATTGGAGCTACATCCAAGTTAACACTTCATTTTTTAAATCTTTGACTTAATTTTTTTTATTTCTGTATTCAACAAAAGCAGTCCATCAGTGAATAATAAGTTTCTTTGAAAATTCTTGTTTTATCAAAGAAATCTTATCCACTAATATAATGTGTCAATTTACGGATCCAGACCTCATCTTTGGCACTGTGTGCTGCTTCCAGTTTGGAATAATATCATTCTAGCTGTACCTATTAAGAGGGATACCAGTTTTTAGGTAGTTGGTCTATATTATACTCCAACATAAACACTAATAGATAATGTATTTCTATTCCTATTATTGTACCTATTTCATTTTGTATATTTTTTTCCATTTTTTATGATGGGTCTTATCCATTTTGGTGAGCTCCAAATTTTTATCAGTTTTTTTTAAAGGTAGGGACCCCTGCTAATTTCTATGCTCACATACAGGCAGTTTTGGTGCTATGTGATATATTTTCGGTTAGATTTTCTAGCACCTATTTGGATAAGACAGGATTATAGTAATTAGCAAGATAGCTATTAATATCTGAGTGTGCACTTCCAAAGATGGGGAAAAATCAGCATAGCTCATTAAACATTTCCAACATTTTTGTCTGTTTTAAATGAAACATTTAATTGTCTAGGGTCAAGTACCAGTATTGCTTAGTATAGTGAAGGGGGTTTGTATTCAGATTGATCCATTCATTCACTAGAAGAATATAAATATACTGCACGGTTTATTCTCTGCTCCATTCTCAGGGTAAGTAGGCTGTTACTCCTCGCGTCATTTTTATTCAAGGTCAAATGGTTTTGAACTTCCTATTATCTCTTAGTCTCAGGTATTCTCTTTACTGTGGGAGCTTCCTTTTTGTTTGGATGCACAGCTGGCTAAGCAAAGGAATAAAATCAAAGACAAATTTCAGGTTGTTTTTTAACAGGATAGGCAATGATTACACCTCTACAGCTTGTTTAATTAACACTTAGTTCCTTTTTGTTTTCTCTGAGTCATGATTGGGATTTTATCTGCTTAGTGCTTTTTAACACCACCACCAAAAGATTTGAAGCAGGATGAAGGCAAAGGAAACTGCCAGGGGCAGAGTTATAAAGCAACTCAATTTGTTTGAGATCTCTATTCAAACACTGAACTTGCATTCTTAGAGTATTTACATTTATTCAGCGATCTAATTGGCTTAATTGGGTAGTGTGGTCTTCGTACTGGATGCAGATCACAGAAAACCTTTAGCAAGTTTTGAAAGCCGAAAGAAACGAAGAGCAGTATAGTATTTAAACTTAGGGAGAAGCCGCTATGGGAAATTTCACCCCTCTTTCAAAACATCAAGTAAAATGCTTGTTGGCAACTTTTAAAACCTTTGATTAATTAGAAAAATTAATGTATTTTTATTGTGCTAGACCAAGTTCTGAGAGTAATAGTGAATAACTCATTGCAATTCGTGTTCCAGATGTGTTATGATGTCATTATTTGCTATCAGTTCTGTTGGAGAAAAACAATCCATTCGAACCTGATAGTGTTTTTGCTTTTTCCTAATATACATGGCCAAAATTGTAGCTTGTGACTGATATTAGTTGGATAACTAACATACAGGAATGGGCTAAGCTGGCAGTAAATTAAGCAGTTTGTTAACCCTCTCTTCATATGGACCACAAAAGAAAGAGGATAGAGAAAATACAGCGAACAAGAAGCACCCTGGATACCAGGTCATTCTGAACTGCACATAATGCATTTCATTATTTGGCACCATTTGCTTTGGGTTGGAGTTACCAGTGGAATTTCTCTGTTGCATCAACAGCCCTCTGCAGGCATGAAGGAAATCAAGGTGCAAAGAAATCAGACTACAATTCCATACCTTTTTAGACATTTGGAAGAAGTTAGCATGGTTTTTAAAAATTTGGCTATAAAATCACATAGGATGACATGCAAATCTAAATTATAACTATTGTATGATCATTTTTATATTTTCAGGTCTATTTCCCGCTATTCTGAATCTTGCTAGTAATGCTCATATCAGCACCAATGCTACCTGTGGTGAAAAGGGCCCTGAAATGTTTTGTAAACTTGTGGAACATGTTCCAGGTCGACCTCTACGCAATGCACAGTGTCGGATCTGTGACCATAATAGTGCAAATCCCAAAGGCAAGTTTTGTTTTATTTTATTAAAATATTTATACCCTACCTTTCTCATATTTCAAGGGTGCTTCACATTAAATGTATGATACATTTTCAGGCTGCTTCATGATACTGAGTATGAAAATGATTTTTCTGCATACACATAATAATACAACTATAAGGGCTACCTACAAAGTTAAAGGAAGTTAAATTATACCAAGGTCTCATCATAATCACTAGGGTCTAACAAAACAGTTTTCTTCAGTCCCAGTAATCTCAATGAGACTTAATTATGGATAATTTTATATGGATTGCACCTATGGTACATGTGCCACTTTTACCCTCTCTGAGTGAATCTTCTGTGGGGTAATTTTTTCCATATTTGTGCACTGTAAACTATATGGCACACAGCTTGAATATAATAAATTAACAGAAATAAATGGGATTATTTAGTCTTAAATCATGTGTGTGTGTATTTTCCCAACAGAACAGCACCCTATTTCAAATGCTATAGATGGCACCAATAACTGGTGGCAAAGTCCCAGTATTCAGAATGGAAGAGAATACCATTGGGTGACCATTACTTTGGATCTACGACAGGTAAGTACTAGCACATGAAGAAAAAATATGTTGCTTTAAGATATTTATTTATTTTGTTTATTTTGAAATATTTTAGCTCACATTTTGGTCACGTGACATCCAGTAGCTTCTAATAGTAATTAAAAATTTTTATTGCAATAAATAAGTAAAAGAGAAAAGAACAAGTGCCAGATATGTAAGTCAACAAAATTATATAAAACAAAAAAGGTAACCAGCTCATTGGTCTCACCAAATAATCAACATTTAACTTGGAACGTAAGTCAGCATTTCACTTGGAACATGTTTGCAAAAACAAGATTATCTTCTAAAAACAAACATGGAAGTGCAAAGCTTACCTTATCGGGGATTAGTGTTTTGTATTGTTGGTGCCACCACTGAGAAAACCCAGTCTTGAGTTATAACCCCCTAAACTTCTTGTAGTGGGAGAACATGGAGCAGAGCTTTTCCAGATAACAGGTTATGGACTGTCAGTCCCCACTTCATCAGAGGGTAAAGGTAATGATCTGACCATAAGAAAGTAAGTTCCTCCACTGTCTCAACTTGCTATCCAGAATAGAATGCCAAATCAAGAATATATTCTACTGAATATGTTGGGCCAGATAACGTTTGAGACAGAACAGTGTCTGGCATAGTAACCAGAAGTGCCATCCTAAGCAGACTTGCCATATTTCTGTGTTCGTTGAAGCAAATAAAAGCATATAAAAGCTTAGAATGGTATTGCAAGAAATCCTATGCCAGATAAAGAGCCCTTTGTATGAATGTTAAAATCCTTGGACACGATAAACTTTGAGGTCTTCCACAAGATTCCCAGATCATCTGTGTTATCTAACAGAGAGATTGTTGAACACCAGAGTAAATGGTACACCAATGGAACATCAATCCATCTTTACAACCCAACATCAGAGACAAAAATTCAGAATATGAAGAGTGTGGGACAATATGTGGTAGGGAGATGGAATTGTAATAGACCACAGTTAACCCCCCACCCCCATCCAGCCTTACTGTTGAACTGTAAACTGGGTGTACACATCTGGGTTATTTATTTAGATATGTATGCCCCACTTTTCTGTCCAATGGGGTGGCTTTCACCATTGTTCTCCCCTTTTCCATTTTGTTCTCACATTAGCAGTCCTGTGAGGTTGGTTAGTCTGAGAGAGAATGACTGACCCAGCAAGCTTCAGTGGCAATACAAGAATTCAAACCAGGGTCTCTCAGATTGTAGGCTGACTCTCTAATCACTACCCCATGCTTGTTTCAATTATATTAGATTATTTGCCAGGGGAGAGACGGTGCTCCAGGCATGGCTCAGTGAGACCTTTTATTACTAGGTTGCTAAGGGATAGGTAAGGCTGCCAATGCTGGGTTATGAAATTCCTGGAGATTTGGGTGTGGTGCTAGGGGAGGCAAGGTTTGGGAAGAGGATGGACCTCAGAGGGGTATAATGCCATAGAGTCCATCCTCCAAAGCAGCCATTTTCTCCAGGGGAATGGAGTTCTGTCATCTGAAGATCAGTTGTAATTCTGGGCGACCCACAGGCCCCATGTGGGTAAGGGCTGGCCCCACTGGTGGACCTCCTGATGGCACTGGTATTTCTGGCCACTGTGTGATACAGAGTGTTGGACTGGATGGGCCTTTGGCCTGATACAACACTGGCATCTCTTATGTTCTTATGTTCCATGGTGCCATTCAGCCAATTAAGACTTCATGGCTGAGCTGGTTTTCATAAAATGTTTAAGCCCAAGTAATGCAATAAAAATTAGGTTGCTGCAACTGTTGATATTATTAGGACTACCTACTAATTTAAATCATGGTATCAGAATGCCGGAAGTCTGAAATGGTAGAGCAGATAGCACAGTCGTTAACATTAAAGAAATACTTACAGTTGAGAAAGCTCTCACGGTGTCTCCTTTATTAGTATTGATGTTATCCAGTTCAATGCAGCCCAGCAAATGGCCAGGAAAACACATACAACACATGCCATAAGAAGATAAGAAAAGCCAATGTTGGATCAGGCCAATGGCCCATCCAGTCAAAGACTCGGTCACACAGGTGCCATCAGGAGGTCCACCAGTGGGGCCAGGACACTAGAAGCCCTCCTACTGTCCCCTTCCAAGTACCAAGAATACAGAACATCACTTGCCCCAGACCGAGAGTCCCTATCTATAACTTGTGGCTAATAGCCACTGATAGACCTCTGCTTCATATGTTTATCCAATTCCCTCTTGAAGCCGTCCATGCTTGTAGCCGCCACCACCTCCTGTGGCAGTGAATTCCATGTGTTAATCACTCTTTGGGTGATTCCTTTTATCTGTTCTAACCCAACTGCTCAGCAATTTCATTGAGTGCCCATGATTTCTTGTATTGTGAGAAAGGGAGAAAAGTACTTCTTTCTCTACTGCTCTATCCTGCATAATCTTGTATACCTCGATCATGTCACCCCTCAGTCGTTGCATCCCCAAACTAAAGAGCCCCAGGCACTTTAACTTTTCTTAGTCTGTTGTAGGAGAACAAAAGTCCAGTGGCACTTTAAATACTAACATCATTTCTTGGTATGATCTTTTATGAGTCAGGGCTCACCTCTTCAGATAAATATGTGAAGGAAAATTATATATTATATTGGATGATGTGCAGGTAGATGGTGTAGCTGATGTTATTAGGTCCTGTAACAGTATTATTATACCAGTTAAACTGTGGTATAATAAGGAGGCTGTTTTCTGTATTACCTTTTTTAAACTGTATGAGAAAACCCCAGAGCCCAGAGATCTCGTTGCAGTATTTTCTATATAATAATGGTTTAAAATCATGTCTGTCCAGTGGGTATTATCTCTAATGGAATTATTTATTGTATACGGAAATTGCACAAAAATGCAGAAGCTAAATGGTTTCATTATCTCCAAACAGGTAAATTTTTTATTTTAAAAAAAGCGATACATCAACTATGCACTGAATTTACAACATCTAGAAGATTAATATATACTAAGGACAGGAAAAAAGTCTTGTTATAATCTACTTATTTGTGTTTATTGTGTGACTCCGTACAGTAAATATAGTACAGAATACAATTTCTGAGAAGGAATGATTGAATGCTTTCTCATCAACTGCTGCTTCGACCATATACATTATAATGAAAGATAATCTTTATACAACAACATACCAATGGCATTTGGCACCACACTGATTAAATTAAATTTACCATACCAATAAACAGCTGTGTTGGAAATATGGGTCAAGAAAGTGGATTTTTAACATATGTTTTGGCAATGCCCACTATTTAAACAATTTTGGGAAAAGATACTTGATGAAATTTCTCAAATAACAGGATATGAAATCCCCAAAGACCCAACATTTTTGTTTGTTTTTGGTCGGGACTGTTATTAGAAGTTCACAAGAAGCGGGGTCCTGTGATACTCTCAGGGGGGGGGGAGAAGGCGCTCCACATGGAGGAGGAGCAAGCAGCCACAGGTGAGCCTTCTCCCCTGCCCCCTGGCACCAATGGTGAGGCCCATGTGGCTCCCAGCCACTGAGCTCACCAAGCATTCTCCCCCACCCCCGGCACCAATGGCGAGGCCTGGGCCCACCAAGTCTTCTCTCCCACCCCCCGGAACTGACAGTGAGGCCCGAGCCTGCCAAGCCTTCTCCCTCGCCCCCCAGCACTGATGGTGAGGCCAGGGCCTGCCAAACCTTCTCCCCCGCCCCCTGACGGAGAGGCCTGCGCGGCTCCCAGCCATGGGCCCAGTTCCTAGTGCATTCTCTGCACATGCACAGGGCACACTTTTTTACTTTGGGGGGGATTTATGTATTCCCCCTATAGTTTTTTCTACATTTCAGATTTTTCTGCACACCTGGGGAGTGCCCCAAGTGTGCAGGAAAATCTCTTTTCCCCTTAGGTGCCCCAGATGTGCGGATTTAGATATCCGCATGCAGAGGGGTTCTTGGCTATTAGATATATAGATAGATGTATTGTACTAGAATTTTTTATCGCTGCACATATGAGATTTGCATAGAGTATAAGAGTTGCATTTGATGGGTAAGCTATTTGGATTTAGCAATATATCTAATTCTTAACATGACCAAATCTGTAGATACTTAAATCCAGAGAAGGGGATCATGGACAGATAAGACATATCTTTCTACAACCTGAGAAAAGCCCCAGGTTTGCAGAAAAAAAAATATTAAAAAATACCTTGGGGAGGGGAGTTAAAAACTCTCAACATAATAGGAGTGCCTGTGAATGAAGTGCACGTACATACTAGTTGCACATGTGTAAGTTTTCTGTATGTAACTTGGGATTCTGCAAAATGCAGGACCTCTAATTGCCTGTAGCAGGTGTACACAAAAGCAAGCTGTTTTGGGATTTCTTAGAAAATTCAAAAGTTTCAGAAGCCAGCTCAATGTTTTGCTTGATCACTCATATTTTAGGTCTTTCAAGTGGCATATGTCATTATAAAAGCTGCTAATGCTCCCCGGCCTGGAAATTGGATTTTGGAGCGTTCTTTAGATGGCATTGAATTCAGTCCGTGGCAATATTATGCAATTAGTGACACAGAGTGCCTAACCAGGTATAATGTGACGCCAAGACTTGGACCTCCTACATATAAAAGAGATGATGAAGTGATCTGTACTTCCTATTATTCCAGGCTAGTTCCACTTGAACATGGAGAGGTAAGTTTTCTTTTTCTTAGTTAGCTGGAGCAGGGATGTTGCTGTGACAATGTTTATTTTTTAAAAAGGACTTCTTCAGATACAGCTTTCTTCTCCTACAAGGGTGAAAATGGACACATTTCCTTGGCAAGGATCTGAGCTGCATAAATGCAGAACGCACCCATTCCATTCATCACCTTCTACAACCTGTGGGAGAGTGAATGTACCTCCCATTCCGGCCAAAGTTGAATCCTAGGGATAAAATAATATCTCATCTGGTCCATTGAAGAGCCAGCTCTGATTTCTCATAGATATAGATATAGATAGATATAGATATAGATAGATAGATATGCAGTGAAACTCATTGTAACCGCAAGACAACGAGTGCTAGAAAGGCGTTGCGGAGCAGACGGAGCAGGGGTGCCAGGCTGGCGCGAGGCGAGGCCGCTCAGCCAGGAACCATTGGGGAACCGATCTCAGCTGGAGTGCGTGGTATGGCCTCCCGGACTGGTGGGCAAGTGGAGCAGCCGTGGCAGCCCCAAGGGAGCCGGGGCCACCCCCAGGCTGATGTCGCAGGTAAGCGGCCTGGCCCAGGCCCAGAGAAGGGTGAAAGGAGGCGGTGGGGGGTGAAAGGAGCAGCCACGGTGGCCCCGAGTGAGCGGGGCCCACCCCCGGGCTGACGCTGCAGGTAAGCATCCTCCTCACCGGCGGCCTGGGCTAGGCCCAGAGAAGGGCAAAAGGAGGCAGCTGGGGGCGAATGGAGCAGGTGTGGTGGCCCAGAGTGAGTAAGGCCCACCCCCGGCCCGATGCCGTGGGTAAGTGCCCTCTTCACTGGTGGCCTGGCCCAGCCTCAGAGAAGGGAGGCGTCGGGGAGCAGACGGAGCAGGCACTTCAGGCTGGCACGAACTGAGGCCCCCCACCCAGGAACCCTGTGCGGCCAGCCGCCAGTCCACCCCTGGAGAACCCTTCGCCGCTGGGCTGTGCGGCGTGCTTCCCCCCAGATGGGCGGCCCTTTATTAAGCAGCCTTTAACCGTTAAAGCGTAGCCAGCTTCTTCTTTTCAAGCCTCCCCGTCGCTGACCGTGCTAGGGCCCTGCCATTCGCCAGGGGAGGGGAGGGAGGTCCTGCCTTTCCCGCCGGTTGCTAGCCGCTGGAACATCCGTCTCATCCCTCGGCTCCCACCACACTGAGGGCAAGACGCTGGCCGCCAGTTCTGTGGGCGGGAAAGGCAGCCAACACAACTAGGGGATTGGGCAGCCAATGCAGCCACCAGGGGATTGGCACAGCTACTGAGTGGCAGTTCAGGCAGCCAACTGATTTTGCCGTGCATCGAATCTTGCCACTCTAAAATGCGTTTATATATAAGGACAGGATATATATATAAAACAGTTTATGAAATCACTCTGTGTTTCCACATTATTTTACAGTGGCCATTTATTGACAGTTTACTTCAGATAGTTTACTTAAACTAGGCATTTGGTGTTTTAAAGATTCTTTTTAAAGAACCACCTGGAAATGGAAGCTAATGCTACAAGCATCTGAATTTCTCTGTGCTGCTTGAATTTCTACACAGGCATCGGTATTATTTGAGTGATACTGCATAATTAAAACAGCCATGCATTTTGCAGGTCAACTGCTGATTGTTCTTTCTTTTAATCTGCTCTGTTCATAGTAGTTCCATGGTATGGCTTAGAAAAGCAGTCCAGTGTTAGGAGGAAATGGTGCATTAAAATCCGTGCCTATGAATGTCTGTCTTTATATTCCAGCAAATAGAAATCTGACCTCTAAAATAGCTATATAGAGAGAATCTCCATAATTAATTCCTTAGATAAAAATACATCAGGGTTCAAAGAATATTTGGGACTGAAGTACTACTGTTATATTTTTTTAATAATCTAAATTATACTTTAAGTTCCGTATGCACATTGGAGGAAGTGAATCCTGTGTGATGTGTTAGTTTGTGTCAATACAGTATAATATTATTATTAATAATAATAACAACAACAATAATAATAATATTTTATTCTAGGAACGAACTAAAATTAATTAGAAATTATTAGATCAGATTGCAGAATCCTTAATTTAGCAGCAGCAAGAAAGTAGGTCTGAGTTAAAAGGATGAAATCTGTTGATTCAGACTGGAGATAGTTTTATACACCTGCAACTCTGTTGTTTACAGGAATGTTTATATTTCTGACTTTTCATTTCTGTTTTACTTAATTTCTGAATGCTTAAAATAATAGAACTCTTGAACAGTCAGAATAATAGAAAATTGTAAGAAAAAAGAAACATTTTTTATTTTTAAATGGTTACGCTTCAACTGTTTTGAAGTCTCTAAAAGTTTTCTCATGTATGCTGTTTATTGCTCCTTAATGTTGGAGACAACAGGAAATCCTTTTGCAGATGTTGTGTGTGTGTGCGTTTCTGGCATAAGAATCCATCTGACACTGCAGGATTGGTATGAAAGTTCATAAACTTCGGAGGGAAAGTACAATTTCCCCCTTGTCTTTTACACTGTGTCCTTTTTATGCCAGTGCTATGGCTTTAGGCCCAGTAATCTTTGCTCCCCATACATGGACCGAAGAAGATTCTTAAAATACAATTTCAACATTTTTCTAAAAGGAGGCTTGGGCGAGATGTGATCCAGAAAGTAATGAATTAAAAATAAATTGTCAAGGAGGACAACATGGTGGAACGGGGACGGGACACAGTAGTATTTTGAATCTGATAATTATTTTGCAAATTGTCCTATTCTTGCATTGCTAATTCTTTTGTTGTGGGAAACGTAGTTTGAACATATGCCTTATACTGAATCAGGCCATTGATCCTCAAGGGCAATACTGTCTATTCAGTTTGGCAGCAGCTCTCCAGGCACTCAGGCAGAGGTTTTTCATGTTCCCTTTACTTAAACCTTTTAATTGGAGACACCAGGGTTTTATCCTGGGATCTGTTTCGTCAAGACTACTAACAACAAGGTTATGATGAAGGTGGTCTCTGTCTTTAGATCCACACATCACTGATCAATGGTAGACCTAGTGCTGATGACCCTTCACCAACATTATTGGAATTTACTTCCGCACGATATATTCGTCTTCAGCTGCAGCGTATAAGAACTCTTAATGCAGACCTCATGACCCTTAGCCATCGTGATCCTAAAGATGTTGATCCTATTGTTACTCGAAGGGTAAGTTAAAAATGCCTATTTGTTACTTTGTTATGTATGGGGTATGATTCATCTCTGTTTTGATAAAGTTTCTGACCCAGTTAGGACAAAGAGGGCTATCGGATGTTAGGTCTTTGTGGTATGATGAAGATCAGTTATCACACAGTAAAGATTCCTTCTAGTGAAACATTCACTGCATGAAATCAACATGGGTTGATTTCATGCAGTGAAAGATTACTTCTTTGTTTCAAAAAGTAATGCACAAATTAGACATAGTAACAGCCTTGTATATTTGTTCTTTTCTACTGTGCTGCTAAAGTAATCGAACTGTTTAATTTGCCAGATGTCTTTGATCCAAAGTAACACTTTATAGAGTTTACTTTCTTCTTTCTGTTCTCTGTTTCTTCTTGCTATACCTTGATTTATTATATTTTCAAAAGCAAGAATTGTACATGCTGATGAACTTGTACACATGAATACATGAAACTGCCTTATAGTGAATCAGATGCTTGGTCCATCAAACTCAGTGTTTTCTGCTCTGACTGGCAGCAGCTCTCCATGGTCTCAGGCAGAGGTCTTTCACATCACCTACTGCCAGATCTTTTAATTGGAGATACTGGGGATTAAACCTGGGACCTTCTGCATGCCAAGCAGATGCTCTGCCACTTAGTTACAGCCCCTCCCAATTGTACAATAAACCCTTCTTTGGGAAATATCTTATTATGCAGACACAAAACAATTCCTCTGAAAACCGTAATATAGTAGTTGTTAAACACAGCAACACTCTTCTGTCTTTTTATAGCTGGAAGATCAAGTTTATTTATGTAAAATAGTAGCACAATCCATCCAACGTCAGTTGTATAGATTTCACTGGTAAACCTTATTTTTCTCACAAAAAGCACTGACACTTTGCCTGTACTGTGTCCACAACTTTTAAATTGTATTCCTTTGGCTGGATCATGTCCATGGTTTTTAAAGTGAAATGTCCATTTTAATACAATCTGACTAAGGTCTAATGTATTTTACATACGCTGTTTTAGCTTGAATTTTATTTTTCGTTGAAGCTGAGCCGAACTTGCAGCCCTTGAATTGGTCACCTGAGACAATTACCTTGAACATAGATGTGATAGTTTGCACTGTGCTTAGTTTTATTTTCATGTGGATTTTTTTAATGATCTGTGAGGTGTTTCAGATGTACAAATTCAATACAGCTTGACAGATGGCATAAATTTATATTTAAAAGTATGGTTTACCTCATCCCTGAGAAACTGAAGACAAGTCACTATTGAGTTCACTAATTATTTCTTGTCCCAGCTTTTCTGACAAAAGTGAAAATTAATCTTATCCTAAACAGAATCCTTTGGACCAAATCAAGAATGTTAGTAGGGTTTGTGCAAGCCTTCTGTGGGAATCAGATTTACATACCTGAGGTCAAAATTAGTTTTGGATTAAACATATGTTATACTTCAGTCTTGAAACTCACACATATACTGAGTTTTAGTTTATGTACCGACATGATCTCTACCATAAGAACAGTAATGCTAGCAAGAGAAGATAACATTGCTCCTTTGCTGTCTCCCCCAGGGTAATAAAAGCCATTGTCCCTCTCTGGGGTCTGTACGTATGTTTACAACAGTGCTTGTCTTAATTTCCATATACAAATTCTACTGAAATCAGTAATAGTTTATAGAACCATGCAAATTCTGTGCTTGTAGCTAATTTGTTAAATATGAAACAATGTAATATTTGTATTCTGTTTTTTTCCCCATGCTAATAGTCTTTATAAATTAAACTTTGCTTTATTTAGTATTACTATTCAATAAAGGACATATCTGTTGGTGGTATGTGCATTTGTTATGGCCATGCTCGAAGTTGTCCTTTGGATAAAGTCACAAAGGTATGTTTCATTTTTTTTGAACCCCCTCACTTAACTAACTGTACTACTAAATAAAAACAATTTCTTAGTTCATTACGTTATTGATTGTTTTCTACCCAGTGAAGTGATAAATGCTTGTGTCTTCTCCACAGCAGCTCTTTAAACCATATGCAAATATACTTATTAATACAGCATAATTGTCCAAGTTAGTGCCACCTCATTGGCATAAATGCTTTGGGGCTCAAGTAAAGGATTACAAATTCAGGATTATTTTTATGGCTACTTATAGGATGAATATATGATTAAGAAATTGTACCTTTGCAGATTAAGAAAATACACTGTTGCAAGATGCAACTTTATTCAAATAAATGTTTTATGTTTGCTGTTCTGTAAGGCCTCCTTGCTTGATCACCTAGCTGTCTGTATGCCCATAAACACACACACATAGTCCTTCAGAGTGTATATATGCAAGAATGCATACTTGTACACACTTATGCATAGGAGATGATCCATTGGAATCCCTTTGAGTTTTCTGCCACCTCTTGTACTACACCATAACCGCCATTGTTGCGTACTACACCATAACTGCCATTGTTGCTATGTGCCAATACTTTAATTATTAGAAATAATCCTACATTTCCAATACCACATGCTTCATTTCCCCAAAATTGTAGGTTTGGGATTTTAATTTTTTTCCTGCTAAATGATGTATGTGCACAAAGTATGCACCCACATATCCTCTAATATGTTCTGTGCTATATGCCAAAAAAGAGATAAAATGGAATTGTCAGTGTCTGGCTTCATATGTTGTAAAATGGATTATGAGATTTCCAGTTTCTGCTAGAAGCTAAAATTAACTGGTATATGGGTTGTGGGTTGTACAAGTTCAGTGGTGCAAATTCACACAGACTTATAAAGGAAAAGAAAATAACTGAAAGAAGAGAAAGAACAGAAGAACTGTATTGCAAGACTTCTGTCCTCATGAATCGAACAGAACTGTGCACTATGTGATTTTTGCACAAAGACAATAAAGCAGAAACAAGTGATAGATCAGTGCCTTCTTATTAAGTGGCAGATCATAGGGTCTAAATAGTGCCCCTTGTACAACTGTCACTAGAGGTTCTTGTGAATAACTATAGGTTTGGGTGCGCTGTGAGGGAGCCCTGCCATATACTTTCTCCAATAAACTAGTTGGAAAGAAAGAGGAAAGATAGATGTCAAATTGTTTACAGTGCAGTTTATGGCTGCATTTTTATAGGAGTTGACACGCCATCTGTAGAGGTAGATTATGTGACTGACCATCAATTATCCACTACAAATTCTACTTCTGCCTTTAAAAAGCAAAAATCCACATTCTCTTTGCTTGTCTCACTCCTTGCATTGTTCCCGTGATGGAGCTGTTCAAACTGTGGCTTCTTCAATGACATGTTTCGCCAGATGCTCTTTTTGGGTGGATTTATTTCTTTACCATGGCAAGGTCTTTTGCTATCTCATAATCTATATAGGGACAGAAAAGAGCAACTAGAATGATAAAAGGGTTGGAACACTTTCCCTGTGAAGAAAGGTTAAAGCGCTTGGGGCTCTTTAGCTTGGAGAAACGATGGCTGAGGGGTGACATGATCGAGGTTTATAAGATTATGCATGGGATAGAGCAGATAGAGAAAGAAGTACTTTTCTCCCTTTCTCACAATACAAGAACTCGTGGGCACTCAATGAAATTACTGAGCAGTCAGGTTAGAACAGATAAAAGGAAGTACTTCTTCACCCAAAGAGTGATTAACACATGGAATTCACTGCCACAGGAGGTTGCGGTGGCTACAAGCATGAATGGCTTCAAGAGGGAATTGGATAAACATATGGAACAGTGGTCCACCTGTGGCTGTTAGCCACAAGGTATAGATAGGAACTCTCAGATTGGGGCAAATGAAGCACTGTTTCTTGGTACTTGGGGGAGGCAACAGTGGGTGGGCTTCTAGTGTCCTGGCCCCACTGGTGGACTTCCTGATGGCATCTGGTATTTTTGGCCCCTGTGTGACAGTGTTGGACTGGATGGGCCATTGGCCTGATCCAACATTGGCTTCTCTTATGTTCTTAGGGGTCAGTCTAGCTGGAAATATGTAAATAATACTTCAGGTGTTTCAGAATTGCAGGTAAAGAGGTAGCTTGTATTCTAGGCTTTAGGTAGTGGAGCTATGTTATATAATGCAAAGGTTTTTAACATTTAATCCGCTAGTGCCTACAAAGTTTGCAACATTATTAGCAAATAACTCCACAAGCCTCAAGTAAAACAAAACAGAACATAAAAGCAGTTTTCAAGATAAGGCCAACTTCATTTACTTATGTTAGATACACGCATATGATACACAGATCTCAAGCATACATTCAGTGAAATCCTTGTGCCTGATATCCATTAAGAAAGTCCTTGGTATTAGATTTGATTCCTGTTTGTTGTGTGTCACCTTTTTAAACCCCTGAGGGAGAAGCCTGAGATCTGGGATTTTATCTTCAGGGCAAGTATAAGTCAACTCTTTTCACTTGACGGTCAGAAGCCATTGGAAGTGGGGAGAAAGGGCTGCCTAAAATTCTGAATGCCCCCAATTTGCCATTCCCTGTGGTGGCTCAAGTGGTTAAGACGCTGAACAGCAGGCTTAGTTCAGTAGTTCGAGACCCGAGTGTGCCGCATGACAGAGTGAGCTCCCATCTCTAGTTCCAGCTCCTGCCAACCTAGCAGTTCGAAAGCAAGAAATTGCAAGTAGATAAATAGGTACCACTACAGTGGGAAGGTAACAGCGTTCTGTGTGCCTTGGTTTT